TATTTATTTATTACAGATACATATACACACACACACACACACACATATATATATATATATATATTGTGTAGGCGTGTATGTATTCTCGCGCGTTCGTGCTTATGTCTTCGTGAGTGCGTTTTTTGTGGTCAACCGGATTACTCAAGATTTGTGCACATGTGCATCGACCAGTACCGCAATGCAAGCAATTGCAGTTGGCGTATTCACACACGTACGTGCCCATACCCACACTGTCTTATACGTATGTACAGGTGATATATATGTGTATGTCACGCACATATCACCACTGTCATCTACGCATGTGCCATTGATGTATAACGTGTTCATGTACTATCCGCAGACAATGCTCCGCTGATGAACTTTGTCATTCGACCTAAACGACCGAAAATGGTACTGCGAGGAGACTTGATCGCCAACGCAGCCACAAAACATCTCCTGACAAAGTACAACGAACCCCAACTCAACGCCATCTGCAACTCAATCGCCCATGACGGCATCACCATGATCCAGGTATGTGTGTAGGTAGATGTGTAGGTATGTGTGTAGAAATAACAGAAAAGAGCAAAAAATGTCATTGGAATAGTTCCGAACTTGTGTTATAAAGCCAAAACTTCTACACCCTATTTTAGTGTCCACTCAATCACACACATACACATACATACAAACATACACATACGTATCCACATACACATACGCATACACCTACACATATACATACGCATACACAAGAACATACACATACACATACACAAGCACATACACAAGCACACACACATACACATACACATACACATACACATATACATACATATACACATACCAATGCACATACACATACACCCTTCGCTACACATCTCACGGCACACGCAATATGTGCGTACTAACGTCTCATCTCTCGTCTGCCTCTCTCAGGGACCTCCTGGGACTGGCAAAACGCGCACTATCTTGGGCCTTCTGGCGGCCTACTTCAAGCAGCCACACTTGCCCCGGCGATCGCGTGTACTGTTGTGTGCGCCGTCCAATGCGGCTGTGGACGAAGTCGTGCGACGAATCCTGGCTGTGGTGTGTGTCTGCGAGTGTGTGGTACTGTGGATTACTCAGTACTTGTCGTGTGTGGTTGTGGGAGTGCGGGATGGATACGGGAACGGGGGTCTGGTCTATATGTGTGGCTGTTACTTCTGTCTGTAGGTGTAATATATGTATATATAACTGACAATAGTATCT